TGGGACTTTGAGATTTCAATTAATATTGTTTGTACCATTAATTTTGAAGGTTCACGTACGTAGAACAAAATTTTGAGAATCATTATATGAGATTTTGTTTATTGAAAACATTTGAGTGTGAATTATTTCATTATTTTTATTTCAATATATAGTGTTATATCATATGTATTTTTTATTATTCCGGTATTCTTTGGACCTTACCTTTCACATGTAATAGCATAGATATTGAAGCACGAATTTAACCCTGAGATAAGAGAATTAAAAAGTGTGATATGAGTCATAATCATATCATTTAAATAATTTTAATTAATTAATTAATTAATTAACTAATTAATTGCTTGGCGCACCAAGACTTTAAATATCACAATAATATATATATATATAATATATATATATATATATATATATATATATATATATATATATATATAGTAAACTTTTAAATATTGGGGAAATCTGCAAGAAAGACTCTAATGAGTATCAATTGTTTCGCCGAACGTTTTCACCAAAGAGAATTAATTTGGCTTCTTCAGGGCTAAAAGAGAATAGATTATAATTAGCTACCATATATTATCTATTAAAAAACATTAGTTCTTACCGTTAACGTAGAATTATTGAGTTAGGATGTTAAAAAACATTGCTAGTAACAACAAAGTGGTGTTTTTTGTGCAAAGAAAGTTTTTTTCAACGTTGGAAATGTATTGTAGCTTTGAACTTAAAACGCAAAGGTTTACCCAAGGTTAATAGAAAAACCCAATGTAACTACATTTAAAAGGAAGTAATTCTTTCAAATGTCGGCAATAACTAAATTTTTGATTGTTAGAAAATTTAAATGTGAGGTTCTGTTCAGAATCAGAACGCATGTGCCGACAATTCAAGTAGTTGTTTCTTTATGTCGTTAAGGTTCATTGGTAAAACCAAATTAAGTTAATTTCCAGTTTGGAGAAATATTTTAGATTTTCTTAATTGAAATTATTTTTTTTAATTATATTATATTGTTCATGTAGTTTTATAATATCTTATTGAGATGTATCTAAGAAAAGCAAGGGAATGTTATATTTTTTAGTTAATGAAAATTATTATTAAGGAGGTTAGTTGTTAGTGGAAAATCAGTCAAGTTGATTATCTGTGATGTTGTATTGTTCTTGGTATAAAACATCACAGATAACTAACTTGAGTGATATATCCAGTTTTGTTTTGTTAACCGTTGTTTTTTTTTATTGGTAATTGCGAATTTTTTCAGTTAAAATATATGTTAAAGAATACACCTTTTATTTTCTTTGTTTTTAGAGATACCAGAAAAAATAAATAAACAAAATATTCACAAAGCAAGATACTACATGTTTTTAATGTAAACTCAACTTTATATCTTGTCCTTCTACTCGGCGTCTCAAACTAAACATAAGATAAACATTTTTTCTTCCACCTGGTATAAACCCAAAAGAGAAATTTGTGTAAACATTTGCCCAACAGTGTAAATACCAACGAAAATGTCTAAAATAATAAAAAAATTAGCGGAATCCGTTAATCTGTTCACGAGAAAGTCAACTATCAAAATGAGCATAATTTCTGGTGGAGCAAAACTTTTTCTTATATTTTTATTTCGCGGTTTTATTATGATTGTTTTACATCTTTGATGATCACACGATCATTGTGTGCGGTTAGAATTTAAAAATACGTATATGTATAAGAATTTTCTAATATTTCGCGTAAATCTGCTGCTTTATCGTCATGACAACGGTTATATATGACATTGACGGTTTATTAAAATAATGTCCACGTTAAAACATAAAAATTGTATGTAAATATTGTATTCTAGGCGTGTTTTAAGAACATATAAACTACTAAATCGTATTGTTTTCGGATATATCATTGTCCTTGGTGATGGTAAGATTGAAGAAAAGTTTGTGGAAGTCGAAGGGATCCGTAAAAAACTGTTACTAAAAAGGAAGGTAAACAAACAACTCAGGTCATAATTTTTTTTTCTTTTTTCCTATTAACGATACACAAAATACAAAAGTAAAATCAATTAAATAACTCTAACTGCTATGGTAAGAACCGCAAATAATAAAGTAACATTTACGTATTAGAAGAAAAAAAAAAGAGGAATTTAAAATAATATCATGCTCTCACATGAAATTTGTCAATATCTCCCATACCTGTGCTAACACTAGTGGTTACTTCCCTTACAATCTCCCCTTACCACCAAAATCTCCAGATAAACTATATCTCATGCTAAAATCAATGAATACCATATGAGCGTATGTTTTTTTATTCTCGTATTTTATTAAAAGTTGCCCTACAATGAAAATGGCATCTGCTATTAATCACCTTGCGTAAATTCAAACTTAATTATTATTATTTTATTTATTTTAATTTTTTAACGTATTACCTCTATCCGTCACCCTCTCCCATATTTTAGTTGTGTGACTTGTAGTTTTATGGTAACGTAGTTTGTGTTTTCATCATCATCATGCAAACTCCTCTGTCCACTGCTGCACATAGGTCTAGGTCTCTCCCATTTTTCGCCTCCTCCGCCATCCTCTACGGAGTTTGTCTTTTTTTCTTGAGCCAGTCAATTAGTTTTCTGACCCATCTTAAGTCTTTTAGTCACGCTATGTGACCTGCGCAATTCCATTTCAGCTTAGTTATAGATTCAACGACATCAGTGATACCTGTTCTTTTCCTTAGGTCTTGGTTCCGTATTTTGTCTATTTTTGACACGCTTTTGTGCCACTCGCATTTTTAGTGCTGTTGTTTTTGTGAGAGTAAGAGTTTCTGCTCCATATGGGTCAAATGTCTTCCGTTTCATAGCTATCGGGATGCTGCTCTTAATGAATTGTGTCTTAGTGAACCATACGCCGCGCAAACAAGTGTTATTCGTCGTTGAAATTCACAGGTCTGAGTATCCTTGCTTATTATGATTTCAGGATCGAGATATAAGTACTTTTTTGTCAATTCTACCACTTGGTTTTGGATGGTTACCGCTTGGACGTTTGGTACCAAATTTGTCATAAATTTGATGTTAATGATGTTCATTTTTAGACCTATTGTTGAAGATAGATTTTCTTATTCTTATAGCATTTGTTGTACTCCATGCAGATCTTTGGTAAACAGTACTATATCGTTGGTAAAACGTAGATGATTGAGCATTTCCCCGTCTATTTTTATTCCTATTCCTCTATTTTCCCACTATAGCATTTTAAAGGCGTATTCGAGGGACCGTTATAAATAATTTAGATGCGGGAGTGTCGCCCCTGTCACACTTCACTCGATATGAATTTCTCTGGTGGTATCATGTAGTTTTACACGCATTGTGGCGTTTTGGTACAATATTTGTACTAACTTTGTAAGTCGGTAATCTATTCTACTATTGTTGAGAGCAGGTATAATGTTGATTCCACGGTATCGAAGATTTTGTGAAAGTCTACGAAAATAGGTACCACTGATCTGTTATATTCTAACGAGTTTTCTTTCTATTAAGGTTTTACTGTTTGTAGTGATCGTTTGCTCTGAATTTTGAGCGGAAGCCAGCTTGTTCTCGGGGCTGGTAGAAATCCAACGTTTTTCTAGTCTTGTCGTAATTATTCGGGTAAATATTTTATAGATGTGGTTTAATAAGCTGATTGGTCTATAATTTTCTAGGTGCGCTTGTCTCCTTTCTTCTGTAGTAAAATTGTTACTGCATTGGTTCCATGTTTCATGTATACAAGAATCTGTTAGACAAACAACATTTTTATTTGGTTGAGAAGGGCACGTCCGCACAACTGTGTAGTTTCTACTACGACCCCATCTTCTCCTGGTGCATTGCTGTTTTTCATCTTTTTCATTGCATCTTGGATTTTGGTCTTCTCTTTCGCTTGTGAATAGTAGTTATTGATAGAAGTCTTTAACTATGTGAAGTAGTTCTTCTTTATTTGATATGAGGACAACTTCCTTGTTCTTTAGTTTGTCCTTGTTCTTTAGTCCTTGTTCTTTAGTTTGTGTATTTCTCATTTTCCATTGTTTAGTCGTCTTCTTAAGACTTTCAAACTTTTATTCTCTCCTATAGTTCGGTGGACCTTTTCCGTCTTAAATTTTCTTAAATCTTTCCTTATAGCTTTTGATACTTCTTTATTTTTCATAGTTTTTCTTCGTCAATGCTTTCGTTTTCTTTGATTTCTCTTTCAGTTTCCATTGGTTGCTTTGTTTCAACGATTTGTGCATTATCTCCTTTATAATATTAAGTAACTCCGTGTAACAGGTACTAATATATTGCTTATACATTTGTCTGCCATCTGTTCCACTTCCAGCCTCCCCTAAAACTGGACTGGATTGGAATCTGGAGACAAGTTCCAATGAAACTAAAAGAAAAATTCTATAAAACTGTCATAAGACTAGCTTTGATTTACGAAAGTGAATATTGTACTGTTAAAAAGAATGTTTGTCTACGAATGCATGTAGCGGAAATGAGAATGCTTAGATGGATACGTGAAGCGACAAAAAAGGATAAATTAAAAGTATATTCGGGGAATCCTAATGGTGATGAAATCAATTGATGCCCTTATGAGAGAGCACACGGTAGTTTAAGATGATTCGGGCATGTTAAACGTCTAGTTGCTAATCACCCTATTATGAAAAATGTAACTGAGGAATAACTCGATCAATGACAAGATAATAATTTTAGATTTTAACTCGTTTTTTCACAAATTCCACGTAAATGTAAATACAGTTTTTACCACAAAATTTAAATACCTAATAAATATTTGCAGCAATTGCAATTACTTGTTATTTGTAAATATTATTTATATTGTTTAAATTAGCGACGACAACGAATAAATCCTTATTTAATTTACGTAATAGCAAATTTGCACTACATCTAATAAAAGATAGAGAGACAGTCAAATCAATCCGGTATTTACTAAAATTATTACAAAACATGATGATAAAATTTTAATTGCAAATTTTAGAGATTAAAAGCCTTCGATTCGCGCGCGATACGAGTCAGTCTCGTATAGTATTTTGTAACGGTTGGTGGACAAGTTAAATATTTAAAACAACAAATAATATTATCAACGAATTTAAATGTAAGTTACATATTTGCTGTACTATAAATCATTTACTACAACATTGGTTTATAAAAATGAATTACTACAGTTTACTAGCACGTGATCAAAAAAATTGAAAATAGAAATTTTTTTGATATGCAAGTGATATATATTTTTCTTTTTAATACACTTTTTTACCGTTTTACATCAACATATTAGAAGCCTTAATAAAAATCTAGATTAGTTACGATTAAATTTAATATACAGGGTGACTAATAATTAATTGGACATTAGCTAATTAGTGATAGCTGACATCAAAATAAAGCGTTTGAGCTTAAATGGCTTCTGCAAAATGTTTTCTAGTTTTCGTTCTACAGGGTGATCCATTAATATTTTTTTTATATTATTTTTAGGGATATATTGAAAATTATTCAAGCGATTAAGTAAGATTTGATATCTTGCTATTATTTAGTATGCTTAATATGAAAATGATATTAGGTTTGCCATTGACACTAGGTTGCCCCACCTACTATAATATTGGTTCATTAATGTGGCCATATTTTTTTTGTCCGCCCTGTACAAACATTCTAGGGAAAAAAACATGAAATAACATTCAATTCTACACAAAAAAGGTACTCTTGTTTCAAATCAAAAAAGTACACCTTTCGAAATAAACGTATTTTGTTAATGATACGCATGTCTGTATTAATTTTTCACAAAACAAGCAGGTCTTAAGTATGTAAGTACGAATTTATTTAATATTATTAGTTGTCAAAGTGCGAGTCACTATTTGTCAACGTGCTATTAAGTTTTTTATAAACCACGTAAGATAAAGGTAAAATGCCACGTCATAGTGAATTTTCTAATGTAGAAATGAGCTATATGATCTAAAGTATGCCAGGAAATTTTTTGTTTTCGTAAAGCAGCTCAACGCTATTTCGAACTCTATCCCAATAGAAGACAACCAAACCATAAAATTATTAGATCATTGTTCAATAGATTAGGCGAAACAGGGTCATTTCATCCCAACAACAGGAATGCTGGAAGGCCGAGAGTAATTAATGCGGATATGGAGGATAAAATTGTTTTGCGTGTTGCAGAAGATACAGAAACCAGTACAAAGTTTGTTTCTGCGGCCACTGGTATAAGCAAATCTACGGTGTCAATAATAAAACGGACAGAAAATCTATATCCGTATCGTTTTACTACAGTAAAGAATCTTTTACCACAGGATTTTCCAGCAAGGCTTCGATTTAGTCCCTTTATGATAGGGCGACATTTAGACAATCCAATATTTGATAATAAAATTTTATTTACCGATGTAGCCACATTTACTAGAAGAGGTGTATTTAACTGGCGCAATAGCCATACCTATGCGACAGAAAATCCTCATGCATTTCAAGAACATCATTTTCAACATAAGTTTTCCTAAAATATTTGCTGTGGCATATTTGGGGATTGTAGGATCATTCGAATTACCAACAAGGCTTAACGCTAACGTATCTAAATTATTTGAAAGAAGATTTACCTCTTTTAAGAAAGAACTCTTTTAGAGGACATACCCCTAAATTTGAGTGCACCTCCACATTATAGCCTAAAATTAAAAATTATCTAGATAAAATTAATCCTCAAATGTGGATTGGTAGAGGTTGTGTATACCCATGGCCAGCACGCAGTCCCGAGCTAAATCTCCTAAACTTTCACTCGTGGGGCTATCTAAAGTCACTTGTTTATAAAGAAAAAAATAAATAACCGTCAAGAGTTATGGCAAAATAATTGTAGAGGAAGTTAGCATAATTAGGGCCCAAAGAAACTCATTATTTAAAATAACAAAACTTACACAAAATATTTAGATTATGCAGTTTATCTAATGGTGAACTTTTTGAACACTTATTGTAATTTATTTTTCGTTTCGTTTCGAATTATTCACTTTGTCAATTGTTTTATATTCACTTCATTGTTTAATTTAATCTCTGATTTTTTTTAAATTTTGTTACTGTGTAAAAGGTTTAATAAAAATAATTGTTTCAATCATATGCATTTTGTTTGCAAAAATTATCTACTACTAATACATTTAATATTCACTGCTATTTAAGACCTTTTGAATAATGTTTGAATTTACATAGTTTTTGTAACTTTTTTTCATTTTAGGCACGTCTCTGAAAAACTACGTTTATTTCAAAAACGGTGTACTTTTTTGACTTGAAACAATAATAGCATTTTTGTGTGGAATTGAATGTTATTACATATTTTTTTTTTCTAGAATGTTTATACAGAGCGGACAAAAAATTATGGCCACATTAATGAACCAATGTTATAGTAGGTGGCGCCACCTAGCGCCAATGGTAAAACTAATATCATTTTCATATTAAGCATACTAAATAATACCCAAATACTAAATTTTACGTAAATCGGTTAAATAGTTTTCAATATATCCCTAAAAATAATAAAAAACAATATTAATGAATCACCCTGTAGAACGAAAACTAGCAACATTTTGCCTAAGCAATTTAAGCTCAAATGCTTTATTTTGATGTCAGCTATCACCCATTGGCTAATGTCCAATTAATTATGGGACACCCTGTATAACTGATGACACTTCATCTTGACTGTAGACATAAATATGTCTAACGGAAACTTGGGTTATTCCCGATATATTTTTATTTCAAATAGATAATAGTAACATACCAAGGAGATATAAATCAAAACGATGGTATCGTTGTATACATAAAAAAGAATTTAAGATTGTGATTATTGTATGTAAAGTATTAGAGATAACTATATAAGGTAATTTTAATCAAAGTAATTTACAGACCACCATCGACAAATGAAGAGCATTTTTGTATTGGTCTAGATAAATATTTAGAGATCACTAAGAGTTCTGTTTGTAAATAGTATATTTTATTGGCTGATATTAATATTAATACGAAAAATATGGCTTCTGAGTATTTAAGTATATTGAGTAAATATAATTTTCTATTTATAATAAATAAAAATATTATATAAACTAATAAACAAATACAATAACTTTTAATTAACATTTTTTTTTCTAAACTTATGTCGACAGTTAGCAAAAGACGCGAAAAAAACATTACGATTGGTCAATTAGCTCCGAGGCTATGATCGAACAAATTTGACTGGCATTTACAGCAATAGTAAAGTTTGTTTAGCAGAAAATAGTTGACTTCATTTACTGCGGTCGTAAATATTATTAAATTTATCTAACTTTTCCCATTGTTAAGACCGGTCCGGAGCGATAAGCAAATAGGTATACAGAATTGGTCTTTTGACAATTAACACTGACTAGACGGTACTCCTATAATAAATTCAAAGGATCCACAATAATTACGAAAACAAAACAAAAAAAACGGATGTAAAAGATATTGCTTTGATTATATACCCGAAATTAATGTTTTCAAATTAGTTTTAAAATAACTTAAATACATTTTAATTGCTAAGATTATAGAAAAACAAACATTAATAATAATTTGTGGTTCTGAAAAGAATCGTTTTTTAAGTCGTAAAATTTGTAGATTTGGTGACAGTATCACTCCACACTGTTCTGTTTCGCTATCCTCATCTAAATTAGTTATGATCGGTTCAATTATATTATGATCTATATGAACATATGAATTTTCTTAACTTACCTGTCGGACTAAATTTCTCCTACTAATTGGAAGAATATCATTGACACATTTTCTTATTAACACTACAACAGTAGGTACTACTTAACGTTAGAGAAATATTTTTTGACCTCACGTTAAACTTCGTGCCACATATGTTCTATGGGATTAAACATACAATAATAGGGTATAAGCTAGTGTACTGTATGCCCTATTTCATCTGCCAATGTATCACAAACATATACTGTTTTATGGAAAATGCCTTTAGAACTTCTAAATCTCTTGCTTCGTGTAACATTTTTCAAAATACATATCATTCGTCTTCATGTCTTAATTTATCAGGAGTCTTTATTATTTTTGCAGAAAGCCACAGGGCATTTGGAACGTAAAATTGTGTTTCTTTTTCTTTATTTGACGGAGCTTTTGACTTACATTTACCAGGAGAATCGGCAAATCCTTTAGGTCGCATTGAATGTGTGTTAAACCATGTCTCGTCGAGGTAAATTATCGGACGATTTTCAGAACGGAATTTTTTTATTGAAATTATAGACTCATTACGCCTTTTTTGTAATCTACAAGATTCCATAATTACTTTACTTTCAATTAAACGATATCAAAAGCCCACACTTCTCAAATTTGTTTCGTCAACATTGAGCCGTTGCTTCAGAGCTCTTAATGTAGGTATGCGTTGCGCTTCGTGCATAGTATAGACTTTTCGACGTATCAAGTCCTTATCGGTTTCATCCATACATTTGGTGTAACTGGAATCTTTACGTTTTTTTTCTTGTTTCTATGGGATTTGATGTAAATCTTTTTACTGTGGTCAGAGGTATTTTAGTCAAATCGCATATTCCACTCGTAGCGGAAGTTGTGTAAAGTCCTCTTTTAGGTAAGGTACTGTTTATAGTTTTTACAATTTGCTTTACATCTACAGATAAATGTTTCTTCTTTCTACCGAAAAAACGTAAAGAATAAAATGAGAAATACTACTTAACACTTTCCGTGATACCTAAAGACAAACAAATTTAATCAAGAGCTCGTATTTAAATACTGGTTGGTATTTAAATACTATAATATTAAATATATATTAAATAATTAAATAAAATCACTTAAAATGTGATAAGCAAAACCGTAGCGCACTACCATCAAATTCGAAAATCCCTCTTATCAGTACAGTTTCATCAATATAAGCCCTATCTATAGTAATGAAATTATATAGACTTTGGATTGTACGCAATTAAATCAACATTAAGAAATGAAGCTATGACAAATTTTACCAGAAAACATATTTAAATTTTACCTGAAACCGAGCCTTTTATACTGTTATTGGTTAAACCAGGATGTTCATAGTCGGTACTAATTGAAGTCAACCGTTTACTGCTAAACAAACTTTACGAAGGTTTGAGATCTGTTTTT